TAGCTCTGTGTGTGCTAATAGCACTGAGACAGTGAGTCTGGTACTAGCTCTGTGTGTGCTAATAGCTCTGTGTGCTAATAGCACTGTGTGCTGATAGCTCAGTGAGAGCAGGTGTGGTAATGGCTCTGTGTGTGCTGATAGCTCTCCCCTGTTCTTCGGACTGCAGCACAAGAGTTGATTGCCGACCCACAAGAAGGAACTTGTGCAGCAGCTCTGTGGTCTCGGTGTTTCATGAACACAATGTGAGCTCAGCATTGACAATTGTGATGAGCCACTCTGGGTCCGAACATCGATTGAGACAGAAGTGCCTGCTAGAAGGACAGTTACTGTAATTAATGAACTTGATTGATTGGTCAGTTATAAACCAGTGGCGTTACAGTGTTCTCAGAGGTGAGCAGAGTCATTCTGCTGCTGCTCGTGAATGACGATTGGGCGAGGAGCTAGTCTGATCCGCGTGAAATTGTTGTTTCAGTTCCAGACAGTGTTTTCTAGGTGTGACCTTGACTGAGGGCTGCTGTCAGACTCTGTACTCATCACTCTGAGCGCCCGACACACTGATTCACAGGGTGAAAGACAGAGAGGAAGGGAATTCTCACCTGACCTGCAATTCCAGGGTTTCTCACGCCGATAGGTATCGCAGCCACTACTAATTAAAAATAACCGTGGTGGCTGTGGTGGAGCTGTGGTGTGCAGCTCGTGAATCATTGTGAAATCTGTGGTGAATGCGTCCAGAAACGTGCTCCCGAGCGCCCGGCAGGGTTGCACAACGGTACTGGTCTGTGCGACAAACGGTAACCAAAGCAAACACTCTGTGACTCTGCGCAGGCCGCTGGGTGGCCAGGGGCCGCTGGTCCTGCAGAGCTGTGATGTGGTGCTGTGTCTGCCCTGGTCATTCAGAGCTCAGGAGGGACACAGACCCCTGGGCTGGTTCCTCGTCTCACGTCTGCCTGCCCCCTCTGTGTCTGCAGTACGGCATCGTGCTGGACGCAGGCTCCTCCCACACCGCCCTGTACATCTACAAGTGGCCAGCGGACAAGGAGAACGGCACGGGCATTGTGACACAGCACAGCGAATGCCATGTGGAAGGTAGGAGCGTTGTGAACGCTGGAGGGGGGGAGACAGAGACAGGCTGCTGTCCTGGACAGTGTCTTGTTCTGTGTCCTGTGGCCTGTATGCAGCGTCTCGGCTCTGCAGGCTGTGTCGTGTGTCGTTTTGCAGCAGTCTGCACAGTGTTGCAGTGTCCAGCAGTGTTGCAGTCCTGCTGCACAGGGCACAGCTGCGCTCAGCACTGAGCGGTTTCCCACGGTGCCGCCTGAGTCATGTGGGCCAGCTGAGGCAGGCTGACGGATCACAGCTAATCCGCACCGGCCTGGGCCTGCCTGCTGCTGTGCAGAACAGGCCCAAGAGGGCCCAGAGAGCGGCTCTAGCACTGCGGGACACCAAACAGGAAAAGCTTTTTTCTGTGTATATGCCTGTGCCTCCGGCCCCAGCCCTGGCCTCTGTGCTCTGTGTGTGTGTTGTTGTATCGTTAAGCCCTGCGATGTCTGTGCTGCTGTAGGAGGTGGGATCTCCAGTTACGCCAGTCAGCCAGGAGGTGCAGGAAAGAGCCTGGAGACGTGTCTCAATCAGGCCAAGCAGGACGTCCCGCAGGGGAAGCATGCCCAGACGCCCATCTACCTTGGTGCTACTGCAGGCATGAGACTGCTCAAGTGAGTACTAGGCCTTGATTGCCCCCGTCAGACCCCACTAGGATCCCTCTGTTAGATCAGAAGGTTTCTGTACTCTGTTTTCCATGGTCATATGCACCCTGTCTCCTCCCCCCTGTCCCACACAGTATGTCCAGCCCTGAAGACTCGGATCGCGTCCTGATGGAGGTCAAGGAGAAAGTGTCGTCATACCCCTTCAAATTCCAGAGGGCGGAGATCCTGACAGGACAGCTGGAGGGAGCGTATGGCTGGGTGACCATCAACTACCTGCTGGAGAACTTTATCAAGGTGGCTGACCCACACTGACGCACTCTCACAGCACAGGACAGCCGAAGACCCCTGTAACACAGGGACACGGGCCCCCAGAGACCCCTGTAACACAGGGACACAGGCTGATTGATCATTCCACATTCCTGCAGCAGCAGAATAGAATGGACAGACTTCCAGGGTCTCCCAGTGTCTCTCAGTCTTGCAGGAGATGTGCAGGTGTGTAGCGGTCTGTAGCCAGACTCTTCTAGTCCTTGAAGGTGAGCAGCAGCATTTGAAATTGTGTTCTGAAATCCACAGGAAGCTGCGTCTGTTCATGCATGTTAGTTTTGGTTCAAATACAAGGAGCCGAGTTCTGAGTTTGGGGGAAAAAAAAGTCAGCATTTATTGGATCTTAGAAGCAATAAAAGCAGTCTTACTGAATCTGCCGAAGCGGGAGTATTGTGGTGTCGTGTGGAGCCCCCTGGTGGGTAGCACAGGAAAGAGCCGTTGTTCTGAGGCGGTGCGTCTGCAGATCCTGTCACTCCTCCAGCTTCAGGCTTTTCATTCTCTCTCGACCCCCCCCTTCCCCCTCCCGGCTCTGCTGTGCCGTTCCGGGGCGCAGTACGGATTTGTGGGGCGCTGGCTGAGCCCGGGTCAGGGCACAGTGGGAGCGATGGACTTCGGCGGGGCGTCGACGCAGATCTCTTTCGTGACGCAGGAGAAGCTGGAGAGCCCGTTGGACAGCATGACGCTGAGGCTGTACGGCCAGGAGTACCGGCTCTACACACACAGCTTCCTGTGCTACGGCCGGGACCAGGCGCTGCGCAAGGTGCTGGCCTCCATGATGCAGGTAACACGGCCCCTGATGGACACACACTCACCTGACAGAGGGACACTGACCCCGATGGACAAACGCAACTTGACCCTTACAGATGGGCAGACAGGCGGACACCGAGCCCAACGGGTGGACAAACGCACTCTGGCCCCAGCGGATAGACCGACACTGACCCTGCCAGACAGACACACACTGTCCATGCTGGCCGGAGAGACACCAGCACGTGGAGACATGGCTGTGTCACGCTGGTGGACAGACAGAAAGACCCTCTCGTCCCCCTGTCCTTCCCGCTGGCTGGCCGTGTCCCTCTGTCTGACCTGCTCTCCTCTTGCAGACCCAGAACTTCGTGGCGGAGGTCACCCACCCCTGCTACCCGGCGGGCCACAGCGTGGACGTGAAGCTGGGCCAGGTGTTCGACTCGCCCTGCACGCAGGGGCAGCGGCCCAGCCCGTACCGGCCGGACAGCGTGGTCAGGGTCCTGGGCTCGGGGAACTACGGGGAGTGTCGCAACGTCGTCTCGCAGATCTTCAGCCTGCAGGACTGCCCCTTCTCTCGCTGCTCCTTCAACAGCGTCTTCCAGCCCCCGGTGTCCGGCAGGTTCCTGGTGAGTCCGGCGTGTCCGCGCTGCGGCGTGCGCCCGTGGGCTGTAGGCCTCTGTTGGACTTCACAGTCAGGGTGAAGGACCAGGGAGGCAAGACCTACGGTACAGTGAAAAGATGTACCAAAGGGATTTTTCCTCACCAGGAGAGTGTAAATATGGATTAGGGGATGAGGGATGTGCGAGGCTCTTTCCCTAAGAATAAATGGATTAGAGGTGGGACTGGGGCCAGAAGTCACACTTGAGGCTCCCGACACCAGTCCAGGTGATTCCTAAATAATGTAACGTATAGCAGAGTGATTTAGGAAGGGGAATTCACATCCATATTCATTAGTTGGATTTAAATTATGTTGTATACAGTGTCCAGATTGTATGTTGGGAATACGTGCATTTTTAATAGATCACATCACCAGCTCCTTTCGAGTTCCGGTTTTGTTGAAACAAAAAGCCATCCGCCACTGCAGGGCAGATTGTTCTCCAGACATTTGCAAGATTGCACCTGGATCTGTGGGTTGGATCACTGCTGCACTAAGTGGTGGTAAGAACTCAATTTACATGGCGGGGCGTAAGAATTCGTCATATTATTCAAGTGCAACAGCGTTATTTTCAAACAAGGAGAATGTTTAATGGTAGATTTTGCACTTCACAGTATTTATTCATTTTCTGAACAAAATAATCCACAAACCACCTATTTCGATGGCTTTTGGTGCCTTGAAAAACAATGTAAATGCAGGGAATCAGGATTCTGAAAGAACCCGAGGAATGTTGTTCCAGACTCCCACGAGCCGGGGAGTGTGGAAGAGCCCCTGCTCAGTTCTCAGTGCACACGGGGTCAGGGCTGGGTTTGTGTGCTCTGGGCCTGAAGGCGCCGTCAGGATCTTTCCGAGGAGTCTGAGCCTGACTGAGGCCTGGATTAAATCACCCGCCCGCTCCTCTCTCCCCCTCTGCCCAGGCCTTCTCCGCGTTCTTCTACACTTCCAGCTTCCTCCAGCGGGCCACAGGCATCTCCGTGAACTCCCCAGCCCAGATGAAGAGCGCCGCACAAGCCGTCTGCGCCATGACGTTCAAGCAGGTACACAGACCCCCTGACCCCTAACCCCTGACCCCTGACCCCTGACCCGTCTGTTCCGCTGTTCCTCCCCGTCTGTCCGATGGCTGCCTGACCCCACCGCCGCTCCGCGCTCCTGCCCTGCAGATGCGGGAGAAGGTGCCGGACCAGGAGAAGCGCCTGCAGGACTACTGCACCATCTCCGTGTTCATCGAGGTGCTGATGCTGGACGCCTACGGCTTCGACAACAGCACCTTCCCCCTGGTCTCCTTCCAGAAGCAGGTGGGGACCCCGGTTCTGAACGCCTGCGGGCTCTGGGGCGTGAGCGCGGTGCCCGGGGCTCGGGCCCTGCGGACCCGTTCGGGCTGAGTGACTGTGGCTCTCTGACCGCAGGTGGGCGACACTTCGATCGGCTGGGCTCTGGGCTACATGCTGAGCCTGAGCAGCCTGCTGCCGGAGGAGAGCCTGAGCGTCAGGAAGGCCCTGCGGCCGTGGGCCTGGGCAGTGCTGCTCCTCCTCTTCGTCCTGCTCCTCCTCCTCGCCCTGGTCCTGCTGCTGCTGCACCTCTGCCGCAGCAGGAAGAGCGGCGGAGCCATCATCTAGCAGCAGGCCTCCCTGGAGGGGCTCCCGAGGGACAGAGGGGTCAGGGGGGAGAGAGAGCTCGGGGTCTGCAGGGACCACTGGAGGAGGCTGCAGACAGCCCTGTCGTTGTTAAAACGGACACACAGACACCGCTCCGGCTCAGCTCGGCTTACCAGTGGCTCCCGGGGGCTCTGTGTTCACCTGGCTGGCTCCTGCAGGCTGCCAGAGCTCTCTCTCTCCCCAGTGTACTGTGTCCACAGGCACAGGGCTGCACAACAACCAAGACCTACTGTATATGCATGTACGAAGCTTAAAATAGCTCCCCCGAATTTAAGCTACCTCTAAGTCCTTCTTCAATTTTTGTATTAGCAATTTCCAAACTTAACGCATCTGATTTTTAAACCAGCTGGTTTTCTGCGTGGAGCAGTGCTGGAAACCCTGGCGGAGGATACTCCTGGGCCGGACCAGCCGGACCTCACTCCACCTGCCCCTCTCCCAGCTCCTTCTCTTTTTGTATTGTTTTCTGCACAATAAATTGAGATTTTTTAAAGAACGGTCTGTGGTAGAAGCCTTGTGAGTTCCAGTGCGCGGCGCTGGGCGTCGGGCTGGGGTGCCGCTGCTCCAGCTCTGTAAAACCTCCCCCCTGGCCTCTGGCTGACCCCCCCTCTCGGCTCATTTCTGCTGACTGCCAGCCCGGGCGCAGTTTCACTTCAGTTAGCTATTTTTTAAAAAAATGAACCGAAATTGAACAGGGGGGAGAGGCAGCTGCCCCAGAGCCCTGCTGTTGCTCAGCGCGATGTGTCTCCGAGTCCGACCCGCGGTCCGGCCAGGCACAGGGGGTGACCCCTCCGCCTCCCAGGGGCTCCAAACAGCAGTGGCCCTGTCCGGCTCCTTCTGCCTGCCGAGCCAATCCCAGAATCCCAGCCAGCCGACGTCGGAGCTGTGGCCGGCGGCGCGTTACGCCCCGCGCCGCTGCTGACGAAGAGCCTGACGGCACGTTCTCCCCTCTCCCGCCCCGGAGCGCAGGCCGGCCCCCCGCTGGGCTGGCGGGACCTTCGGCACGGCCTCCTGTCCAGTTGACCAGCTTCACTGAGCGCTTACGATCCGACGCTGAAAGAGAACTAGGGGAGCCCAAACCTGAGACGGCTGTGAGTCTGGAGCTGCTGGGTAGCTGCCTGAGGGCGATTTTTACCAACAACTGGTTTAATTTTATTAAGGCTGGAGGGTGGAGGTCAAACAGGGAGACCCCAGCGACGCGCGATGGGCTAGCTGCAGGGCCCCCCGTCCTGCTCCGGGCTCCGGGCGGGGACACCCCAGTGCGAGACTGGGCCTTTCCTTCTTCAGGAGGCACGCGGTGGGAGCAGGGCGTCTGTGGAGAGAGAGGAGGAGCAGACGACGCAGTCCAGACCGCTCCTGCCTGCCGGGGGGGCTGCGCGGGGGGGGCTGCGTCATGGTCTGGGCAGGGGGGTATAAATGTGTCGGAGTTGGGCTGGGCAGGAGAGGAGAGCCCAGCAGGGAGACGCAGAGACCGGACACACAGACTGCTTGAGTAAGTTCATCTGCCTTTAGAACCCTGATAGCTTCTCCCAGTGCATTGATTTCACTGGGCTTTACTGTACGTTTACCATGTTTCACGGGGCTTTTCTGCACTTTTTACTATGATTTCCCTGGGCTTTACTTCACTTTACTGTACTTTTACCATGTTTCACTGGGCTTTACTGCACTTTTGCTATGATTTCACTGGGCTTTACTGCACTTGACTCTGTTTTTACCATGGTGCACTGCGGGATGTTCTGTCGGTGTTGAGAAAGGGGATACAAGCTGCTCACCAAGCAGGGGCGTCTCTACACCGCTGCTGTTTGTAGACCCACTTGCTCGAGTGTTTGTTTCCTCTGCTGTTAGGAAACAGCATGGCCAGAGTGCCTGCTCTGTGTTAACGTACCAGGCTGTCAGCTTGCACAAGCCGTAAACTATAACACTCACAGTTATTAACTCAGAACAAAAACTTGCCAGCGCGTCCCTGCAGACTGGGAAGTTTACTACAGAAGTACAGAAGTCATGACTCTCCCAGCTCGTTAACTGGACTCCTCCGTGTGCCCTGGGCTGCCTGGTGCACTGCTCTTCCTATTCACTTACTGTTACGAAGCCTGTAGGACTGAGGAGTAATTCAGCATGGCAGAGCCTCTGGTGCATTAACCCGCCGGTGTTGGTACTGCCTGCAGGAGAGACGCTGCTGTCAGCCGGGAGAGCCGAGTTCCAGTGCGCCGTGTGCAGCCCTGTGGGTGCAGGGGCAGCCATGCTGGGCCTGCGGATCTTGCCCCCTCTCTTGATGTGCCTGCTCTGGCCGCGGGCTGTGGGGGGCGTGGTCTCCGAGCCCCGAGCCGGCTCCTGTCCAGGTGAGACCGACACCGGCGCTCGTTCGCACCCCCAGAGCCGCACAGCTGGGTGCTGCTGCTCCTCCTCTGTACCTCTCTGCTCCTGACCCGGACTCTGTCCTTCCTCCCGGTCAGTAACGTTCTGAGCCTCTGAAACGAAAAGGAAGACGATCCAGCCCCCCCTCTGTCCCCCTCTCTCTCCAGATGTCCGTCTGATTGGCCTGGGGGAGTCTGACCGCTTGGCCGTCCTGCAGGGCTGTCCTGGGGCCCCAGGGAGTCCAGGGGGGAAGGGAGAGCAGGGGTCCCCAGGGGTCAAAGGTAAACCCATCTGTCTCCTGGGCAGAACTCGACGATTTCACCTCCTCCGCGAAACGTTTATTTCTAGAAGTCACAGGAAATCGCTTCGAGTAGAGATTGTAAGTTTGATGTTCAGTTTTAGAGTCGATTAATCGATACGCTTGCAGGTTTTGATGCTCACCTCAGAGCCATTTGTTTTCCATCAGGCAGCAAAGGAGACGAAGGGAGAGTGGGCAAGCCGGGTCCTCAGGGGCCTGCCGGGCCGAAGGGAGAGAAAGGCGAGAGAGGTGAGCGACCCGACCCCCCCCTCTGGGGTCTGAATGTCCCCTGTCTCGCGCTGTACATGCTGTGCCAGGCCCCGCCAGGCCCTGCCAGGCCCCGCCTGTGTGGAACAAGCAGCTACAGTACCACCCTGGGGCCCTTCACACACAAGCCCGTCTCAGTCACTGCCTGTGAGAATGGGACACTTCACCAGTTCTCACGACTGAATACCCTGTTAACCTCTAGCGTGGCTATTTAAAAGTATCAGAGGTATTTAAAGGCTCTTTAAAGCTGGCAGGTCTGCTAAAATATTAGTCTTTTCCCTTCACCCTGTCTCTCTCCTCTCCCTCCTCTGCCTCTCTTGGTTTCTTCCATTCCCGCCTCTAATCTCTGTCCTTCTATCTGCCTCCCCCTGATCTCCCTCCCTGCACAGACTCGGTGCAGGACAGCTCCCACCCTGCAGGTCTGCAAACCATCTCTCCGACTCTCAAAGAGCCTGTCTGAATCCTGACACATCCCAGACGACTGTCCTGCACGGGAGGGGCTGGGCACTGTATTCTCTGTATTCATCATCTACTGTAAAAGCAAGCACTTAACATCACTGCATCATCCCAATATCAGCTCAAATTCTCCCCTCCACACCTATCCCATTCTGTCCTGGTGTTCTGCTTGCTTCCTTAAAAGTACGGCATGTTTAAAAACCAGGGTTGAAATTCCATCTGTACTTCCTGATAGCTACAGTCCTTCATCCCTGAGACCAGTTCTAGTAACTCACTCTCTGTTTGAACTACAGGAGAAACACCCGGAGAATCATTCTACTGCGAAACAGGTGAGGCTGCCTGTAGTCTCTGTGTCACTGTCCCTCTGTCTCTCACTGTCCCAGTGTCCCTCGGTATATCCTAGTGCCTTAGTGTGTGTACTCTCTGTGCAGGGGCAAAGAACTGTGTCCAGCTGAGGGACAGTGGCCACAGCCTGACGGGCTGGTACACCGTCTACACCCCTGCCTGCCAGCGGGTCACGGTGCTGTGCGACATGGACACCGATCAGGGCGGCTGGCTGGTGAGGGCGGTGGGGACTCGGACCCGGGGCAGGATGGTGGGGTGGAGGGAGGCAAGTGGAGACTGGCATGGCTGACAGCCCCCCCACAGAACCCCCTGCGAGTGACGCTGGTCCAAAATCCAATTCACTTCGGAGTCGGCCTGTCGGCCAGCCTGCACACCTTCTCACACACCTGGCCTTCAGCTCCTGCCACCTCTCCGCTGGCACTGTGCGCCTCTGCACTCACCCGGTATCTCGTGTGTGTGTGTCTCTCAGGTCTTCCAGAAGAGGGTGGACGGCTCAGTCAACTTCTTCCGCAACTGGAAGTCGTATCGGGACGGGTTTGGGAGTCAGCTATCCGAATTCTGGCTGGGAAATGAAAACATCCACCAGCTGACCAGGACAGGTCTCTCTCCCCGACAGTCCCTCTCTGTCTCCTGTCTTCCTCCGTCTCTCCTCGTGTGGCGGTGTTTCACTTCCATCCTCTCCACTCTCCTCTGTCCCTGGCCAGGCGCCCACGAGCTGCGGGTGGACCTGGAGGACTTCGAGGGGGGCGCAGCTCATGCCCAGTATAGCTCCTTCCAGCTCCAAGACGAGTCGCAGAACTACAGGCTGCTTCTGGGGGCGTTCGCTGGCGGGGAGGCAGGTAGGCACCCCACCATTCCTCTCTCACTCCTTCAGCGCTCTGCAGTGTGACCCTCGCAGTGCAGTTCCATGAGCTTCATTGCCGTGGCGAACATTTCTCTGTGCCAGGTGACTCTCTCTCTCTCACTCTCTCTCTCTCACTCTCGCTGTGCCAGGTGACTCTCTCTCTCACACTCTCGCTGTGCCAGGTGACTCTCTCTCTCTCACTCTCGCTGTGCCA